AGATAGATAGATAGATAGATAGATAGATAGATAGATAGATAGATAGATAGATAGATTATGCATATATCTACACATATGACATAGGCACCACTTAGGATCTTCAGACAGATCTGCAGAAGTCATAAATGTGAGGAATGGTGGTAAATTAATTTTTTCCATCCCCATTATACCTTCAAAGGTTGCTAAATGAGACAGTCACTAAACAAGGGCTATATTTGCACTGGACAATGCAAGTTTGGCAGAAATTGTGTCCACGGTGGCTTGATTAGAGTCATTCTGACTGTGGGATGGGCAGCATATGAATTTAATAATAAAATAAGAGTTTTGAAAATTTCCTGGCAGGGAAGATAAAACCTGTTCACCCCTCTGTCTCAGAAGACTTATTGTCATGTTTCTTTCTGTGGGAGAACCCACAATTTCTCTTTCTGCCTGGATGTGTCTCTTTCTTCCATTCTCTGGGGTTCGTTAGAAAGGCGTCTCCAGGGCATGCTTAAAAAAATTAAGGCCCTGCAGGCTATGAGAAGGAAGTTGAACTGATTCCAAACACACACATTTTGTAGCAAGAAGGAATTCAAGCTTGTAATTTGAGTTAGGCCCAGAAATGTAGCCCAGATGGCTTGTTGTCATGATGCTGGAGCAGGGCTAACTTTGCTGAAAGCAGAATGACAAACCGACTTCCTGGCTTTTTATTTATTTAAAAATCATCATTGGGTCCTTTGCTTTGGGGCAGTGAACCTGATATAGAAAGTTGTGTATTTTTGCTTTTTCGCCAATAATTTTATTGTACAAATATGAAAAGGAGGTGATAGAAGAAAAAACAGGAGGGAACAAAACCTAATGCTTTGTATTTTAGACTATACCCCAAATTTGTGCAGACTTGAATTGGTGCCATATAATATAGCTTATAGCAGGGCTGTCAAACTCCCAGCCCACAGGCCAAATGCATCAAACGCTGGCCATGCCCACACCCTGTTTAGCGAAGGGGGAAAAAGTCCCGATACGTCATGTGATGGTGCTATGACGACATGAGTTTGACACCCTGGCCTAAAGATTACACTTATTATCATATCCCTTAGAGCAGGGGTGGGCAAACTTTTTGGCTCGGGGGCCTCATTGACTTTTAAAATTTGACAGACGGGCCGGGTCAGCACAAGATTTTTTGCCCCCCCTTTTGCCCCCCCTTCCCCCCTTCTTCTCCTCCTTCCCCTCCACTCGGAGGCCCCCTGAGTCAGAGTTGCTACCGCTGGCGCGGCTCCACGCGGCTCCAGTCCCGCGTTGTCTCGGGAAGGGAAAGGCAAAAAGGAAGAGCCGCGGTGGTGCTTTGCAACAGCAGCAGCTGCACCGGAGGCTCAGGCTCAGCAGCTCCTGGTTTTGCCTTTCCCTTCCCAAGGCAACGCGGGACTGGAGCCGCGCGGAGCTGCGCCGGTGGTAGCAATTCCTGACTCAGGGGGCCTCCGAGGGGAGGGGAAGGAGAAGAAGGGGGGGCGAAAGGGGGGGCAAATAATCTTGTGCTGACGCGCCCGACAAGCCGCTCACCACGACGGCGGCTCCCAGCACCCGAGCAACTTCCCAGCAACTTGCGGCTTGCTTTTTCCTCTCGGGCGCTCGCGCCTGGCCCCGAGCCGCGTGGTGGAGGGGAAACTCGGAGTGCCGCCGAGTCGCCTCCTCCAAGCAGCCCGCCCGCCCGCCAGGCGGAACCCTTCCCGCTCCTTGGCGGGAAGACGCTCCCGCCTGCAAACTTTGCCTGTGCAAAGTTTAAGCCTGGAAGCCCTGGAAACCCGAGCAACTTCCCAGCAACTTTCGGCTTCCTTTTAACTCGCGGGCACTCGCGCCTGGCCCCGAGCTGCGCGGTGGAGGGGAAGGGCGGGCTGCTTGGAGGAGGCGACCTGGCGGCGCTCTGGGCTACCCCTCCGCCGCGTGGCTTGGGCCAGGCACGAGCGCCCGCGAGTTAAAAGGAAGCCGAAAGTTGCTGGGAAGTTGCTCGGGTTTCCGGGGCTTCTAGGCTTAAACTTTGCACAGCGCGGCAGAGGGGAAGCCCGGAGCGCCGCCGGGTCGCCTGCTCCAAGCAGCCCGCCCGCCCGCTGGGCTTCCCCTTCGCCGTGCGGCTCGGGGCCAGGCGCGAGCGCCCGCGAGGAAAAAGGAAGCCGCAAGTTGCTGGGAAGTTGCTCGGGTGCTGGGAGCAGGCTTTTAAAGTGCCGCCTGAGCAGGACCGCCGAGGCGGGAAACAGGGCACCAGGGCAGGGCAAGGCTCCACCAGCAGCGGCCTAGCTTTAGGTGGCTCCAAGCAGCCCGCTCCAAGCAGCCCACCCGCCGGGCGGAACCCTTCCCGCTCCTTGGCGGGAAGACGCTCCCGCCTGCAAACTTTGCCTTTGCAAAGTTTAAGCCTGGAAGCCCCAGAAAAAAAAAGGGGATCGGCGGGGACTCACCTTCGGAGAGGTCGCACTCGAAGGTGATTTCAAACTCCCAGCTGAGGCCTTTGCAAAGTTCTTTTCTTTCCTACCCCGAGAGCGCTCCGCACTGTTTTGCAGCTTTGGGGGCCATGTGGCGCAGGGCAATACGATTTTTTTTCAGGGGCCCAGCGATTTTTTACCAGGGGCGGGCCGGATTGGACAGACCAACGGGCCGGATGTGGCCCGCGGGCCGTAGTTTGCCCGCCCCTGCCTTAGAGCATCCTTTTTAACTGCTCAGAATTGGGACTGCCACAACTGAAGGAAGACTTTACATTTAATGGCATTTGAAGGAATATACAAAACCCCAGCTTAGCTAACCTTTAGCTAAGGCAATTCAAGATAGCTTAATATAGTTAAAACTGAGATATAAATTTATGTCAAGGGCATTAATCTTCAGGAACAGTAATCAGATTCCTGTTTAAGAGCTTCTCTAAGAAAAATTAATGTAATGGCAATTAATGTCTAAGAATATATATATTCTTAGACATTGTCTAAGTGTGTGTGTATGTACACACACACACACACACACACACACACAAAATCATTCTTAGACATTGATTGCCATTACAATGTAGGAGACAAGAAACTGCATTTCTAATTCCACTTAATTGTGTCTATATATAGACACACATGCACACAAACTAAAATAACAGTACCTATTTCCTGTATCTTGCACAGAGGTGGATTTGTAGCTGTGAAGATGCAGATAAGATAAAATTCCACAAAATATCCATAACAAAGTACATTTATTGGTACATTTGTGATGAAGTTCTTCTTTAATGACCAATCCTTTGTATATCAGCCTTGCAGATAAAAGATAGTTATCTCCTAACCCATCGTAGTGGTAGAAAAGCTGCTATCAGTTCATGAGTCCAGGCAAGAATGGAGGGAAACCTCCCCCAACCCCTCGAGGATCAATTTAGTGACCAATCAGGATTACAGATGTGGCCACGTGACATGAACTACATTTCCCAGGATACCTTTAACTACATTTACCATGATGCATTCCCTTAAGGTGACAGCTCATAATTCCTAAGTAACTATCCAATTCCCATAGACTGGCTGGGACAGCACAACCTATCCTGCAAGATGATATATCAAGAGGCCTGGAAGAACTGCAAGGTTTGCTAAAGTACAAAGAGTTTAAGATAAATTATGCTGAATAGCCAAATGAGGCCTAAATGCATTCAGTGATTATGGATGTTCCTTGTTCAGAGAAGAAAAATAACAGAGCAGATGCATTAAGGAATCAAATGCAAAAGCTGATGTGACTTGCATATTTTTATCAGTTGTGCAACAAGGTAACATTGGGTTTGATTTCTGGTTTTGTCCACAAAAATATTTGCAATGCCTTTTAACACAATTTCTGAATTTTCCAGTCTAGGAATTTCTTGCTTTCTTTCCTAACAAAAATTCTTCACGCAAATCTGTAAGATGGACTGATTTGGTACACCCAGAATCTTCCTGCTTTATTGATACACCATCTGGTGTGGTAAATGTGTGTGTGTGTGTGTGTGTGTGTGTGTGTGTGTGTGTGTGTATATATATATATATATATATATTTTTTTTTTCTTAAGTTTTCGCGGGTACTTACATGTATGGTATTCGGCTTGGTTCGGGTATTTTCCCACGTCATTGTAGTTGTTCTTTTAAAGTTGTAGCAACGTTTCAGCAGAATCTCATCTGCCATCATCAGGCTTCTGTATTGTGTCCGTCTGTGGGTCAGACTTTTACAGTTGTTTCAGATTTAAACAACAAACAACTACCATTCCTAGATGTACTAATCTACAAAAAAACAGATGGCACACTAGGACACACCGTATACCAGAAGAAAACACACACTAACCGCTACCTCAACGCCCAATCCCACCACCACCCAGCACAGATAAACTCCGTGGCCAAAACACTAATTACCAGAACCAAACGCCTGGCAGACAAGACACACATTAAGACTGAACTATGCACCCTGACTAAAGTACTGACAGCCAACGGCTTCCACAAAAGCAAAATCACCAGCTTGATCCACAAAAACACACTGAAACATAATAGAAACCCAGAAGATGAACAGACCTATGGAACAGCTGTCCTGCCCTACATAAGAGGTACTACAGACAAAATTAGTAAGGTACTACACAGACATCACATCAGGACTGCCTTTAAAACAGACAGAAAAATAGCAGCCATCCTTAGCAACCCCAAAGATAAAATTGACCTGGAAAACCAAGGCATATACGAAGTCCCCTGTGCATCATGCCCAGCCACATACATTGGACAGACCAATAGAAGAATAAGTACCCGCCTGGATGAACACAAAAATGCAGTCAAAAAGCTGGAACACACTTCCTCACTAGTCCAACACATGGAAGC